TCGGCGTTAGTTGCAGTACTGAGCAACAAGGCATAATCAGGTAGGTGAGTTGCAGCACTTGCCTCTTTGGGTATTCTTGACTCTTTTTGAGGCCAGGTCCTCCATGGACCTTTTCCAGTCCAACCGCGTTTTTGTACCTCTGGGGCAGGTCAACAAGTATGGTTCATCGCATCCAGAAGATCACTTGCAACCAGGACACCGGATCGTTACACCGTCATCGGTACTGCGTGATCTGCGAGGCGAACCGCTTCGAGCCGCCTCCTTGAAGGTGGACATAAGGTCGTATGTAGAATAAAGCCAAACCGGCTTCTGGGACGGAGCCCCGAAATCACCCAAACAAATGGGATGCCTGAGAAGGGCTGTTCCTTCAAAGCCGTCAGCTTCTCGGTCAAGCAGGAATTGCACCACTGCTTGGATGGATGGGTAGATCTCTAGTTTGCTGCATCTTGGATTTTCCAGCGTAACCCAGCAACCCTTGCACCAGGCCAAAAGCATCAAAGCAGATGTAATCTCTGCCAGTTGTGAGCCTTCACGTATATACTCCTTACTTTCGTCGCCCAAAGGATTGAAGCTTGTGCGTTGATGCGTTCCACTGTTGGTCCAGCAAAAGCTGGTGCAGACTGTGGCAAAGTGTGCCAAACCTCCTGGCTCCAGAGCCAGGATGGAAGCAAAGCAGAGAACGATGCCGGGAGGGTGGAGCATATCATGCATTTGAGAACCTGAGTGGCCAAACTACATCAGCAGCAAGAGGATCAGCTGCGTGGCACAGTTGATCATGCGTCTTGACATTACAGGCAACGATTGAAGTCCATTGCCTTGGCGTTGTATCCCTGGGCAGAGAAGGCCGTAGCTATGGACGCCACACCAGCAAAGAATTCCACACACTGCAAGCAACCTGGGAGGTCCTGCAGAAGGCAATCGGCACACACATGAAAGAAAGATCCACAGACACTCAGCCATCGAGAGCCTGAATGAGCCCATTCTCCATGTTTTGCAGGATGAGTGGGTATAAGGTCATTTCAAGGATGACCTGAGGCAGTACGACTTTCCAATGCAGAAGTATCTATCCGAATCACACGTATGGCAGCTAAGTGATCGACCCATGGAATGCCAAGGTGGAGCAACCCGTGCAGCTCTCGAAGCTGCAGCACATCCAGCTTCTCCAAGAAGCGGGACAGGCTTCCAACGTTGGGCACATACGGCATTGTCCATGCACAGATATCCACACAAGCTGCATTGAGCATAATGAACATTGCGGAAGTGTGCGTCTGTCAACACTGAATTGAAAACTACACACTAACAGCTAACAATGGGTCACTCGGGGACCGATGGCGCAGCAGCCAGGGAGCCGGAGGCAAGTTCGGCATCTCGACCTGCACAGACGCTGGCTGCAGAACACATGTAAGCACGGACATAGTGGAGCAAGCAAAGGAAGTTGAAGAAATGAAGCGACGGACAAAGCTAAAGCACGATTTTGACCGTAGCTCAGAAGTAACGTATCGAAACACCATTGCGATGTCGGCCCGGTTCATATACCGATCTGGAAGGCCGGCTCCAGCGCAGGGGCCGCTTGCTCAGTCATCGGAATTCAAGGCAGAGCTCCGGAGACTTTCCAGGCATGTGATTTCGAGACTGCTTCCTCCTCCGTGATTTTCTTATCGTTCAGCTGTTGCATGATTTGCGTGGAGATATCCATGTCCTGGAGTTCCAGGCAAAGCTTGCATATTGGCACGTGAGATGCATGAACCGGCAAAGTTCTGTCCTTTGTCTGAAAGAGCTGCTTTTCTTTGGTACCCTGCAGCGGATGCAACACGGACAGAGATTGAACCAGCCAAGTCCAAGGGGCCTCCGTTCTCCGCATCACGGCCCACTGCACATTCTTGGTACCGTCGTTAGCCGGCCGGGTGTTCTTCTTCAGAGCGTACACCTGACGAGAAGTCATAGCTAGGCTGGTTCAAAGACCGATGCCCCAAATGAATCTCGCCTGCTTCGCGTTGTCCTTCGCTTTTGCCTTGCCCTTTGCAGCGGCCTCCGCTCTTTTTTGAGCCGCCAGCTTCTGCTGATCGGCTTGAGTGACATGAGCAGGAGCATGTTCACGCAAATCGTTCCCAATGTCCTTGGGCGGTGGGGCTGCAGCGGGGATAGAAGAAGCAGATCCATGCAAGGCATGATTGAGCAAGGCGGCAGCCACGTACGGTGGCTCTGGTGTGTATGCCTGCAGCTAAGGTGAACCCATGCTTTCACGAAAACACAATCTTAGCACCAGCACAGTATTTCGACAACATGGAAAGCAAGGTTTTAAACCTAGCCAAAGGCACCTTTTCCCGGGAAACATCCGGGTCGCGGGAGCTGGATTTCGAAGGGGCGCTGGAACTTGCCGCAGAGCCTTCCGTTCTTGCTGAGGAGTTAGGGACCTTGATTGGCAGCACCGGTGGCATATGTGAACGATGCAAGCGGACATGTATTAGTAGATGGATCGATGCAATCCTAGCCATGAATT